CCCCCCCCCCCCCCCCCCCCCCCTCCCCCTCGCTGGTTCCGCCGGAAGTGAGGCGCGGAGGAGGTGTAATGGCGGCAGAAGGAGACGTGGAGCTGGAGTTGGAGACTGAGCCTAACGGTTCTGGCGGAGGCAGCGATGGGGCGGGAGGAAGGGCGGCCGAGAAGCCGCGGAAGCATGACAGCGGAGCGGCGGACCTGGAAAGGGTGACGGACTACGCGGAGGAGAAGGAGATCCAGAGCTCCAACTTGGAGACGGTGCGGGCCGGGCGCTGCTCGGGGAGGGCTGCTCGGGAACGCGCCGGGTTCGGCGCACCGAGGTGACTGTGCTCGTTCCACCAGGCCATGTCGGTGATTGGAGACCGGCGGTCCCGCGAGCAGAAGGCAAAGCAAGAGAGGTAACCGCGCTCCCCGCACGTGGCTCCGGAGGCGGCCCCGCCGCCTGCACCCGCCCGGCTCTAGGCTCGGCCTCGGTTTCCTGCTGCCCCTCCGCAGCCACGGCACGTCTGCCCAGGGTGGAGGTCCAGGGGCTGTATGCGGTGCTCCTCCATGGAGTCAATTCTGCTGTGGTTTGGGGTTGAATGGAGCTGCCCCTCACTGGTGGTTGGTTCTGCCTCTGGTTACAGGGAGAAGGAATTGGCCAAAGTCACCATCAAAAAAGAAGATCTGGAGCTGATTGTAAGTAAGGGCAGGAAGCTGAGTTGGTGCCAGCACATCCCAGGGGCAGCCAGTGCCTGGCACCTCCCTGGCAAACAGCCATGGCGCAGAAGTGCGCAGCGGGGTGTCCCCTGCTGAGCTGAGCCTCCCCTTCCACCCTGGCTTGCAGGGTGGTTTTGTGTACGGAGCTGTACTGAGCTGTGGCTGTTTCCTGCAGATGAATGAGATGGAGATCTCGCGGGCAGCTGCAGAGCGCAGTCTGCGGGAGCATATGGGCAACGTGGTGGAAGCACTGATCACCCTCACCAACTGAGCGTGGGCTGTGGAGCTGCCCTGGCTCTGTGCTCCCTTGTTCCAAGAACAGCAATGTGACCTTGGCTGGAGATGATGTATGTTAACTTATTGAATAAAGGCACCAGTGGGAACGGGCTCCCTGTGGTTCATGCAGCACAGAGCATTTCCCCTGCTGGGCAAAGGCCAGAGGGCACCTGGTGATGGGGACGATGTGGGGACAATGCGTGGCTTCAGGGCAGTGATAACCAGGTTTCCTGCATTAGAGTATGACTGCGGGTCCCTGCCTGCACATCAGTGAGCTTGCCCAGGTTTTTCTGGGTTGTTGGGCTACTCCAAGACAGGCTTTTGGTCCCTACTACAGGAGGCTGGGCAGATCAGCTGGAAATGACCTGCTGCCTTTGCCCACCTCTTGAGTGTGGGCAGGAACCCTGATTTTCAGTGATGTGTCACCCTTGGGACACCTTTGTCAAGTCCAGTGCTGCTAGTACGGGGGGGCTGCTGCTCTGTTGAGGTGAGGAGAAGCACTTGGCCAGAGCAGGGTGGCTGAGTGCCTGGCCTGCTCTGCCACAGACACCACTACCAGAATTTGTAAGAAAACAATTGCTTTAATCAAAACAATCCCATCCCCCTGTACAGGTAGAAAAGCCAAGCCCTGCAGAAACAGGATTACGAGACAGTGTCACAGCTGTTCCCAACCAAAGGAAGATCCAAAATGACAATGGGGAAAGGTAGGAGGAAGAGATAGTATGGGCCAGACAGGGATAAGTGTCTGCTACTTCCTCTGAAGGTGGGGATGCTGGAGCAGGGGGTGCTGTGCTTCTGTACAGCTGGTCTGGTGCTGCTGAAGCTTTTGCAGGCAGGTGGGATGGGGACATGACTATGAGGCTGCTCAGCATAGCTGGAAGTCATCTTTCACAAGAGCCAGTGATGGAGTCTGCTGAGTCTCTGAAGTGCAGGTCGAGAGTCATGCCACCAAATCAACAGGGAGGACGTAGTGCAGGGACATGGAGGAACAGCTTATTGTGGCACGAGTCCTGGTGCGGTGTTTTGTCCCTGCTGTTCCTGCCCAGGCTCTTGGGCAGCTGACAAAGCAGTGCCTCTCTGCCCATTAGGCAGCCACAGGGTGCCCTCCTGCGTGCTCCCTTAAGTGGTCTTCCGCTTCTTGGCTGAGGGTCTCTCAAAGACATCCCTCACACCTGCTGCTTTCTGCTTGAAGAATTTAGTGTTTTGCGCACTTTCTTGGCCCCAGGCGGAGTCAAACGAGGTGGTATCCTGGTCTACCAAGTGCGTGTACTTCGTCCGTCCTGAGCGCCCAAAGTTCTTGACCTGGGAGGCAGGAAGGATTTGTGAGCACCCATTTGGGTAAGATGTGGGGACCCTGTCATGTCACTGCTCCTTCCCTTGCCATGCACGAGCCCCAGCTGTGCAGCACTAGCGGAGCTGGGGCAACACACAGACCTGCCACACACCTACCTGCATGACTTTGGGCAGGATAGTTTTGTTGAAGTGGTCCTCAAGGGTAGGGGCGCTGAAGTCCCGCTTGTACACCTCCTCATCTTCATCCTGCAGAGGAAGGACACAGCTGCTTGACTTGCAAGTTTCCAGCAAGTGTCAGTAGCAGACAAGTGGCGAAGAGCTACCAAGAACCAACTGCTCTGGAACAGCTGCTCCTTGCAGCAAGTCCCTGACCAACTGCACTCATGTCTTTACTCACCCTGCCTGCCAGACCCGACAGGCATCTCAGATCACTGCGGTCACTTCTGCAGCACAGTGGCTGCCAAGGGCCAGCCCTTATCTGGATATCACTAGGGAAAGCTCCCCAAAGCAGGCACGTGGCCCCACGCAGCCCCAGGCCTGTCCACAGCACTCACCATGAAGAAGGCACCACGGTGGTAGTACTTCTGCAGAAACTTGTATTTGCCCTTCACTGCCTTGTTGGTGATGACCTTGCCGTTGGCTCGCAGCTCAGCACGGCGCTCCTCCTCCGTCAGGTTCCGCATCCGCTCGATCTCTGCCTTCTCCTTCTCCATGCTGGGCAAGAGAGAAACCCTGAGCCCCTGCAATTCCCCAGTGCCCTCCCAGCATGGAGCAGCTGCTGCCACCCAGAGCCTTCTGAGGGAATGCGCCTACTGACTCCATAATGGAGTAAAGCGCCTCGAGGATGGTTTCTCAAGAAAGGTTCCTGATGCAACCAAAACAAAGCCCGAAGCTGTCCACTGTCCCGCAGGACCTGGGACTGCAGGGACCCTCCTGCCTTCAGCAGGCAGTACTTACGCTTCTCGTTCTTCGCGATCCCGCTTGATGCGCTTCAGCTCGCGCACTTTCCAAGCCTCGTATTCCTCCTCATCATTCTCATCATCTGTATCAAGAGCATCAAGTGCTGCCAGCGAGCGCTTATTCTCCTCCAGCTCCTTCTTCGCTTCCTCTTCCACGATCTGAAGCCGAGACCAAGCTCAGCTCACTGCAGCAGCTGTCCCAGCACGGCCCCAGCCCGCCCCACCGTACCTTGAGTGTGTACTTGCGCCTCTCCTCTGCTAATCTCTTTGCCTCCTGTTCTAGCTCCTTCTGCTTCAAGGCTTCTGCTTCTCGCTCCTGAACTGTGATCCGGTCCTTCCTGTGAGCGGGGACCACAAAAGCTTTCAGCCTTTCCATAAGCCATTGCAGACTTCTGCTGCCGCACTGCAGCCTCTTTTGCCTTTACGCCCCGCATGGCAGGGCCAAGTACACAGGCTCTCTCCTCTCTGATGCTGCCCATGCAAGAGCCACCACACTCAATCCCCAAACATGCACAAAGGTGATTGCGAGACCCTGCCACTGGCCATGGAACACACTGGAGCACACTGCCTGGTTCCTGTTGTGCTGCACCTGCCCAAAGTCCCCAGCTGGAACTCTGCTGCCACTCAGACCCAGCCGTGCCCTGCCAGGTCAGTCACTGACCATCCCTGATGCAGGAGCTGGAGCAGTGACTGCTGTGCAGCACCTGGCCCACACGGCTGTGTCACCTACTTGCGGATGAAGACAGGTTTGAGACGTGGCTCCATTTCATCCTCGCTGTCTGTGTACTCCTCGTACTCAGACTCTGACTCAGATTCTTCTCCAGATCTGCCCTCATCTTCCAGCTCCATCACTTCTAGCTCCTCAGTTTTCCTCTCCTGTGCTCTCTGACGCATCATCCCACGCCGACGCTCAATCTCCTGGTGGAGACACATCAAACACAGACTCAGCCAACCGCCCCACTTCTGCTTCCTTCTTTTTTCCATACAGAAAGCGTGATGGTGAGCTCACTGGTTATAAGCCCACACCTCATCATGGAGGTGACCTCCCCAGTGCCCCATAACCCATAAGTTGGGGTCACACGACAGCTGGCTGTGACTCAAGTCCCAACATTCACCCAGTCCCATCAATGTTCACAGGTTTCTGCAAAAGTCAATTCCAGATACGGCCTTAGGGGACTTCCTCAGGCCCCATCTGTTCAGCACTACAAACGTACCTCATCATCAATCTCTTCTTCTTCCTCTTCACTGGTGTCCTCTCGCTCCACACGCCACGCTTCACCTTCTACTTCAGAATCACTCTCTCCAACCACTTCAGGCTCCACAATTTTGCGGTGCCTTGCCAGCCTGAAACAAACGTCCATTCAATTATGATGCTCTGAACACAAGGAGAATACGAGAAATTTTTGTGATCTGTTTTTAATGAGACTGTAGAAAGACTTGTGACCACAAAGGATATGAAGAAAAGACAAACTCCTTGTGTGCACCTTCCCTGAATCCAGAAAAGCA